TGGACCCGTCGGGTCCAAATATAATTATGGAACCGTTTGGGTTCGGTTCCGTACCATAATTAAATTTTTAAATATTTTCAGCAACACTACATAAATACAACTAATGACATTTCATTCGTAACTTTTACAAATTAACGTAGTCCAATTCAAAAACATATACATAATTAGTCGTCCAATAAAATTAATTCAATGCATACAAATACCAAAAAGTAGATATTAATATTAAGCAAAACTACATAAAGTATATTCACTTGCTTCAAATTAAAATGGGCTAATGGATTTTAAAAATGATTTGGGTTTTAAAATTAAAATTATGAAATAATCTAATTTATTTAATTAATTTGCTAATTTGTATTTAAAAAAATAAAATAATTTAATTAATTCAATATAAAAAATAAAAAATTTATTTAGTTTCGGTTCTTATTCGNGTTCTTATTCGATTCTTCGATTCTTGGTCTAGACTCGAGATCCGACCCAAACCCATCGGTTCTCGATTCGGGTACTCGTTCGGGTATTTAATTTACGAAGAACTGCTCGGTTCGGTTCGGTTCGGTCCGTTTCGATTAGGAACTTTTGGACACCCCTATGAGGATTGAGAAAGCATCCAAGTAGGACTACGAGTTCATTCATATGGACAGGAAAGTACCATGGACCAGTCTTGACATGCTACGACTATTTTGTGTTTTTGTATTTGCCAGCGTCCGAAGATAGAAACAAGAACATAATAGGATGCTGGCTTGGTTACAAACGTATTCTACTTATGAAGTTGTTATTCATTGTTAAAATTGTGTTTTTGAAAACATACTTTTATGCACGAGATGTTGTCATGTGTCACCTTAATCACCTTTGGATGTGATGACCTTCTTGGTTGACGTGCATGTTTGGACGACTTTGGGTATGGCATTCACTTAATTTGAATTCTGCAATTCTGAAATCATTCTACGTTCATTTCTCTTTTGAGATTTGAAGATTCTTCATCTTGAATCTTCTTCTAGATTTGATTTCTAGAAGTTGTATCATGGACGATTTGACTTCGATTTGATTTCATGAGTTCTTTTACTTTCTTTGCTTGTTTGGTAAAATTAATCTAATCTTTCGTTGACCCTGATCATTACACTAGCCATGTTCTACAATAATCACTTTTGCCTTTTTTTTTTCTCCAAAATGAATCTAGCTATTTTCGTTCATTGGATAATATACCGTTGAACATTGTACATCACAATTAGGCTTAAATTCTTTCAATGTCATTACCATCAGAAACAAGCAGCTTCCTAATTTTTTCAATGTTATTCGTTCATAGAATAATAAATTTTTAACCTTTGCACGTTTCCCCTGCCTTTTCAAATAACTCAACCTTCCAATCAGCATCAATCCTAAAGTAATCCAAGAACCTATGTGCAAGCCACTTCTATGAAACGTGTCCCTTCTTTCTCCATCCACTACATGTATTCTTCGAGGTGTAAGAATCTATCTGAACAGTATCAGAATCATCAGTTTTGTTTATGTTCAAATCCACTCTCCCTGATAACAGGTAGAACATACATCAATGCAAAAATACTCATTAGCCGAGGATGCATAAAGCATTTACGTCAAAAAATAAGGCTACTACTGTTGCATATCCATATTACTGCTGTTATTGTATATACAAGTTTGTATTACCTTTTTAAAAAAGAGTAGGTATTACATGTCTAAACGTAGCAGAGAACATTGTCTAGTTCCATTCTCTATTATGGTAAGATTAAAAGAAGTTAAGCAGCATTTCCGGCACATCTTTGACAAGCTGTTCCTCGCAATCTAGAGTTCGTATCCAGGGAATCTAGATTTCTCTGGCATAAGCATATCAAACCAGAGGCAAGCAGATCCGGCTAGTCCATGGAACAGAGAGCAGGCGTTATCATCACCATCATAACGTGTATCAGCAATTGTTTTTCTTACATTGTGATATAAGTAGCTCGCAAATGCCTTTGCTCGGTCTTCATATACACCATCTCCGGTAAGGCGCGAGAGAGATAGGAAGGCATAAGTATTCCCAGCAGAGCCATCGGCCAGTCCCACTTTCTTGAGTAACCCATTCTTCCAAACAACTTCCCCAGCTTCGATGGCAGCATCACGAAATTCTCTATTATTTGGTAACACCTGCAAAAGCAGAAGGTCGAATTGGTGAACACTGTGATTAGAACGAGCAGAGGGCAAATACCCTTGTGCTCTATACAATTTAGACTTTCATAAACTGCTGACCTCTGATGCTTTGCACAGGGTAAGGGCTACACCAGTCGCTCCATGGGACCACTGCACGAGCTTATCTCTTGGGTTTCCTTCACTAAGGGGATAATTCCCGCTGTGAGGAAACCTGTTACTCATCATGTACCTCAAAGTTGCCTTGAGGTCGTCAATATCATTGTTTGACAGAGAAAAATGTAGCAATACATGCAAAATACCGGCCAGTCCATGAGCTGCGCCCCAATACCTAGTTCCATGCCATCTATACATGAGCGGGCATGCCGTATTATCCGATGCACCAACCCTGCCTCCTGCTAGCACGGCTTCAACAACTGGCATGAGAAGATTACTGGGTACCACTTCGGATCCTAAGTACTTGTTTATAAACAAAGCAGCCCACAAAAATCCGGCTCGTCCGTAAAGGAGATCGTAAGACATTCCAAACCCTCCTTCTTCAGGTCCAACCGGGAGGGCTTTTTCTTCCTCCGCCATCTAAAGAAATGATTCATAAGTGCGGAAGAATGACCAGTTCAAAAGATACAGAAAGCTACAAAGTTCGATTAAGCTTAGTGTATAAAAAGTAACATACCTCCAGAAAACGAGTCACATAGAAGTCTCGCTTCATTTGGTCCCCGCAGTAATTTGCAGCCACGGCGCCAAGAGCATAAACTCCTCCTCGACCACACAGAAAAGTCACATGCCTGAATATGCTAAAGAAAAATATGAGCTAACTGCCGACTGCGATATAATTGACAACAATTTAGTCTCCTATGCTGGGAGAGAGGAAGAAAGATCTCAAAAAACTCCATAAGAAGATACTTGGCTAAGCTTAAAAAGTTCAATTACAAGCATCGTCTAAGTTACTCTCAAATAAGTAACCTAACATCAGTTTCTCTCACAGAATCTTCGTTTTCCTAAATGGGTAAATCAATATTCTAAATTTATCAATACGTTCGCATATAGACCAAAAAAAAATTAATAAAAAAGGTATTTAGCGTTATTAACCAAATTTAATCCACCTGGTGGAGGAATGAGCAATGGCGGCGCAGGCATCAACGATCTCGACGCACAATTGCAGGTCTCGGTGGTTACCGGTGGCCTCATAAGATCTCAAGCAGGTGAAAGCTGTACCCAGAAGACCCGTATACACCGTCGGGTCTAATTTACCATTATTGCCCCGACCCGTCCATGTCACTTCCACAACCTGATTTCACATGAATTTCATCAATTTCACAACACATCCAAACCCATAAAAACAATCGCTCGTCGATCCGAATTAAGACGGCACTATAAGAAGAAAAAAAGGTTAAAATCTTATTTGTTAATTATATTTTTGTATGAATTTCATATCCACAATACAATCACCCAAAAAAGTATTACAGTATAAGAGCAAATGATCGCTTTTCCATCCGAATTAACAGGGTTTAATAAGTTAAAAATATTATTTATTCTATCGATTAAACCTGGTCCTTGAGAGAGATTGCAGCTTTGAGAAAAGTGACCGCTGGGAGCGAGAGGTTAGTAGCCGTTGGATCACCTGTGTGGAGCATGTCAAACTGCTCAGGATTCCCTTCTTCATGGTTTGTGTTATTACTGTCAAATTTTACCACAGAAGATGACATTCTCTTAACTTTTTTTACTCTCAGAGGTTATGGCTAGAAGAATAATGGATTTATGCACATATATAATGGGCCCTGGGGGTGTTAGAAATATCAGGAATTCCATTTCTAGGGAAAAAAATTCCCAGAATTACACCAAAATAGGGAAAATCAGTGGGTCCTACCGTATATTTAAAAATATAAAATGTGTGGATCCCACCATGCGTGTGAGGGTTCTGTTGCATTTCTGTGGACCGTGCTTATGTACGTGAAGCACTTTTCTAAAAATCTAGACGGAGAAGGAAACGGTGTGCTAAAAAACATTGGAGGTTCCCAACTTTGCTTGAAATTTCATTTTAGTCACTTAATTGTTTATAATCTCGCTTCGCCCTTGATTGGTTTTGCAGTAAGTTAAAATTTTCATAAAAGTTGATGAAATATATAAATAAAAAGTTGTTAAAAATTTTAAATCTCATAAAATATGTGGTTCAAAATAAGTTTGGGGAAAAAAGAATTTTAAACATGGGCTTAAACACACGCGTTGTATCAAATTTTGTGCCAGACTCATTATGATGGCTAAATTGAGTTTTCGATTGTTCAATTATGTAATAATGGTATTATCTTTTAACTTACAAGATTGAGTTCATGACACACAATTGTGTTGATCAGGGGCGGATCCATTAATGGTCCACTGAGTGCAATTGTCCCCATTGAACCATTAATTTTTTTCTTGGAAAAAAATTTCACATAATTTAAGCCCATAATTTTTAACACAAATACAATGAAGTAATTCTAAATTGAAATTACTTTTTACGTAATTTTGTCTCGTCCTTCACTGAATTATAATCATGGGTTCGCTTCTGGGTTAATCAATCAGTATCATGTAAAAAATGCAATTTTATAATCATCCAACACAATGTATTAATCAAAATAGAAGTTTATGAAAAAGAAAAAAAAAGTCAACAACGCAATAGAGGATGGAATTGTTATTGATGAGATTAGCAAAACGCAATTGGAAATTTAAAACGGTTTCAAAAAACAAATAGTTGACTAAAATAAGACTTTGATCAAAGTTGGGTGACCTCCCCCAGTATTTTATACCCTTTGCGCGCGCCAACAGAAAGAGGACACTGACATGACGTGGTTGGAAAGTTATGCTGTGGGGGCTGTAATGTCCTCTGTGATTGCCACGCCATCCAAGCTGTACGGATGAATTTCACAAGAATCACGCAACTTTAAGTGATGGTTTGGTGGAGATTAAAATTAAATTTTTAGTAAATTGTGATAAAATTTTTTAAAATGTGTGATAAAATAGTTGTGGACACATGAAAGATGTGATTGATATTGATTATTTGACTTTGACTTTGACTTGAATTAAAATGAGATTTTAATCATAATATTCTTCAATAAAGGTTTTTGTCAATTAATTATTATGTACTAATAAGATAACGTTTTGTTTAATGATAGGTGCGTGCTGAAGTGAAAAGTTATGAATATCGTAAGATTGAAATTAATTGTTGATTTTGACTTAAAATTTAAATATAATTTAACTTATATCAAACAAGGGTTATGTTTTGTCATATAGAAGGGCTATGCTCGAATTTAAACTTAATCGTGAGATTATCACCCACGCTTTTTATTTCAAGTGATTTGAAAAATCATACGAGAAAGTACAACTTTTTACACCATAGAGTTCATTGAATTTGAGTTCAAGAATTTAGTTAGGGTTGCTGAAACAGTGATAATCACATGTTATTGGTGACAATATATCCGAGATATCATGCCACTTATTTCCCTTTTTCTATAGTCGAATACATTGGTAACACGTCAAGAATTCAACACTTCAACAACAATTCAAAAATCCAACAAAAAAGCTATCAATGCAACAATGCTTAACAATAAGTTGACAAGAGAACAATCCAAAATTTTTATTTCAATATAAATTATTATCAAGTGTCTGCTAACTATTAAGCCCTTGTTTGGTTTGGATTAAAATTCAATTAAAATCTCAAGTTAAAATTAACAATTAATTTTAACCACACATTTCATAGGACTTACAACTTTTCAACCACATATATTATCAATTTTTATCAAAATATACTGAAAATCTAATTTAACATCTACCAAGCAAGGGCTAAATGTGCTATGTGTAATCTAGGGACTTGAAATCAAGTGTGAAGCAATCAATGGTGTGCAACGAGCAACTTACAATAAGATTAAAAGGTGATGCTATAATCAATTCAAACCCTGAATTTAACTTGGTGCTTCTCTTCTACCTACAATTATACAAAATAAAAAATGAGTGAAATAAGAGGATAATGATGGTGTCTCCCACATGATGACGTTAGATCCTCTCCTCTGAAGATAAGCTGAGCTGGATGTTCCGTCTTGTAATGACGAGCTAGTCTAAAATTTATATATTGCTGAAATAGTAAAAAATGAGAGTGTTTGCATTGATTGAAGTAAATAAGAAGTGTATACAGAAGTATGTTTCGCCTTGGAGAATATCATTAGCCTTTATTTATAGGCCTCTAATCCATCATCTTGGCCATCCACCGTCACCTTAGCTATAATACCAACCTAGAAGTGTGTGCCACTTTCCAATTTTAATGGTTGTTGAGGTCGGTCGAACATGTCATCATGACCAATGTCATTGATGATTTTTGATTGGTTGAAAATGAGATGCATATGTCATATGTGCCACTTGTAACTTTGGGAGAGGCCATCTGGATGGTGATGACATTACTTATAAGACATGCGTTAAAAATGTAATGATGATGTTTCTAAATGACGGTAGGCATGGGCCGAGTGGACTTGGTGATCTCTTAGTTCGTCCTCGTTGAATTGATTATTGAATCTTCATAAGCTCTCATTCTTAAATTAAGATAAATCCGAGTTGGTATTGTGAGTTATGACACTAACAACTACTTATAAGTACTTTTAGAATATACCAAACATGCACTAATTAAGATTGAGAAAAAAAAATTATTGTTCTTATATTTTGATTGTCATATTTCACTCGAAATGGATACTCATAAGATAGTGGTTCATTTAAAAATAGTAATGTTGAAATTGTATAATTCTTTTACCATGAGACTAATCGAATTTCCAGATTATTATTTTTAAACGAGTCACTAATATATTATGATTCAGATTGATTGAATTGCTTGTATGAACTTTTTAAACTCCTATATTGTCTTGAAGTTTATTTTGAAAGGTCGGCTTTATTTAAAGGAATAGCTGAATTCCTCATATATTATTATTTTCATATTTAATTCACTTGTGGTTTTGCCCTTAAAGATGTATACAAATTTATTTTCTTTTACTTTCATAAAGATTTAACTAAGTTGGATAGTGTTAGAAATTCAGGTTCGAGTTAAAAGACGAGGACGAACGTAATTGTTATGTTCAATCACATACGTGTACCACATATGCACTATCTCAAATTTGGTCTTAAATTCGTCCATCTATATTATAATAGTCTTTTCATACGAGATTATGTTAATCCGTAAAAGTTGACCTGACATGAATTTTCTTTTTAAGTTGTAGATGATTATCTTTTACGTTCACACAGCGTAACTAAAATCAAGTAGTTTTGGACTTTTGTTGCCCGCCTTAGCACTTTAGAACTAATATAATTTGTGCATCCATCATAATAAGTGGTTCCAACTCTACACCAAAGCCATAATTGTTCTTTTAGTTTAGTCATGTTCCCCTTATTTAATCAAACACATATAGAGTGAAGTCTTACACTAGAATGACTAGATTAATTGGCCAAAAAAAAAAAAAAATCACTTGTGTGAACATCTACTTAAATTTAGGGCATATTATGGCAAAGGTGGGGATTCATTTGCACTTTTGTCCTTGACCTGTTTTTGGTGCTACTAGGTCTCCAACCTTCGGAAAATAGGCGACATTAATCCAAATGAATGATTCACATCCATTTTTCACCAGTCAACCCAGTTGGAATGTGCATTCAAAAATTTAAAAATGGAAAAATTGTCAATTTAATATTATTAGTTAAAAAGAACTAAAAAAATTAGAAGTTTAGAAAACAAGACTAGAAGAAAAGAATTCAAAACAAAAATAAAAAATAAATGTAATTCTAAGCAGATCTTTTATATGGCGGCTGGTTTAGATGATGATTATGATGGCCTACTGATTTTTTGACAAAGAGATATGGATGGCAATGGGCGGGGTCCTTACCCCATTTTCTACCCTGTTTAATTTTTTTTATATATAATTTATTTTTATTGTCCATATTCATTAGATTTAGACAAATTATTTTAACTACTATTTTCTATTAGAACTAATGAAATTTTGTGAAATTTTTCATTTAAAGTATTGAATTATAAAAGAAAAAATTTAACGGGGCGGAGCGTCGTTACCCGTCCCTGCACAGAATACCCGATTAAGCGGATTATCCCCGCCCCATTTGGGATGTGGCCCCACGGATATTGGATTTGTTAAGGTTTTTTGTAATCCCTACAAAGAGATAAGATGATAAGGCTTGTGCTAAAACTAGATTACTTCCATTGATAGACAATAAAAGTAATGAAAGGGATTTATTTTACAAGTTAATGTGATTAAGAACGTTGTTAAAGTTGTTGAGAGTGGTTCATACAGATAAAATGAAGCTCTACTGAGATGACTAAGTAGATATGAACATCGTTCATAATTCTATTCAACACGACATGAGAAACACGATGAAATTGATGGGTCATGGTTAGTGGCGGACCTAGCACTCGGTCGGGGGCGGCTGCGCGTGCTGGGCTCAGCTGGAAGAATTTTTGGGAAGAATCTGGCCGCGTTTATGGTTCGTCTTCTCCAGTTCTACTGCTGCAAGTTTTTTTTTTTAGGGTTTGACTGTTGCTACCAGCCTAGCCCAGCAATCTTTTTCCTTTTTTTTTTAATTGGGTTGGCCGGTTGGACCATTTATTTTTAGGCCCAGACCATACCTTTTCTTTTCTTTTTATTGGGGTGGGCCATTTATTCTTGGGCCCAATACTTAATATATAATTCCC